TTTCTCTGCAACTACACTAGGTAATTAAATCTTCAACAAAAAAAAATATTCTCCCAAGCCTTCTATCACCCAAGTCAGATTCAAATCCCTCAATATTTTTAAAATCAAAACTTTCACAAAGAATTAGGGTTGTAATTGGGGAAGAAAGTATAAAAAAGAAGGAGAAAAAATAATTTAAAAAAAATAATTGGTGAAAAACACGTGTCAGGTGCGTGTGTTTCACCACAAGTCTCATGAGTGGTTATTGCGTTTTAAGGGGTTATTTATTATATTTTTAAATAGTTCAGGGGGGTGATAGGACACCCGTGAAGTTGGAGTGTGTAGTTGAGATTTCGGGTATAGATTGGAGGGGTTTTAGACCATTTTCTCTAATATATATAATAGTAGAAACCTATTTTAACTCAAAGCAAGAAAATATATTCAAAATTTTGACTACAAATTCTAAGTAGGCATTAATGGTATATAAACTTGCAAATATCAAATATTACACAAATTTGATTTCCTTGAAATTGTCTATAAATGCTTTGCTACTATCAAATTTTGAAAATGATCATTGAAATTATTTTCTTGTTAATCCATGAAAACATTTTTTGATGTCATACCAAATTACAAGAAATATTTACACTCTGTACGAAGTACTTGTTGCAATTTGCAACTTTTATATTTTAAATATTTAAATATGTCCCCTTTAATACTTGTATAAGGATCTATTGGTGATGACTTTTGTTAAATACTGAAGAGTGTATACCCCTATTATGGTGATTTTAATTTGAGATGTTACATTATGGAGAGAATCTTAGGGGACACGTGGCACTAAAACATACCTCCAAGATTAAAATTAATAATTCTAAATTGCAAATTAAAGGGGTAATTCTTAATTCCAACACCAAAATATGTGGCCTCCTGTTGCTCTTAAAAAGCTGTGGGTCACCCCAACCCCACTAAAAAAATAATAATATTATTTCATCCTGAATCCTATCTAATATTCATCTTAATTTAATTTAAGCCAAATGAAGCTTCATTAATTTATTAATTAGCTTTATAAGCCTAAATAAAGCTATTACAACTACTATTAATCTAATGTCCAATAGGAAATTAGGCACGTGAGTGACGAAGAAAACAGTCAAAAGAATATTTTTGGATCCTTCAAATATCTCTACACATTCGTTGTTTCTAAATTTTAAATTAAGAAAGAAACAAATTAAAGTTGAAAGAATAAAGTTAATAATAAAAAGTTATAAGAAGCTTACGTACAAAAATATCTTTTAAACTTGAATTGATATATGCTAATTAGTGTCAGCATAGGGATTAAAGGGGACCGATTAGACTTTAATTAATTATTAATTAGTTGGAAAAAAATGATTAGAGAAAATGAAGTAGAAGTTGAACAATTGGGAGAGATGATTGCCACTTGAGATTGCTGCATGTGTTTGAGAATCCAACTCCCATCATGCTCACATGAATTAAATAATTTATTTGCTTCACTTACATTTATTTATTTTTATTTCTTAATAATTAATTTACCAACTTTGGCTTTATTACAATGTTGTCATTATTAATCAATAGCGTATTACAAACATCATAGTGACACTACAAGGAAGAAATCACACCGTGAATGTATATGCTGAGCTAGAATTTGAAATTTATTCAAATAAAAATTATTAAATTTATTTGAATATGTATCTGATTCTATAGCTCTAATCTGGATTGGAAGGATAATAGGTGACCGGTAAAATAAGGTGGGTAAATAATATTTTTTAAAGGTCACATATAACTTTTTTAAATCCTATTATTAATTTCTTATTTAGTTAGATGACTTGCATACTTTATGTATCATAAAATAATCCTGCATCACATACTATATTAATATAAGAAAAATTAGACTATCAAATTATAAATCTATTCATTTGAAAAATAAGATAAATTACACTACTAAAATTTGAAAAGAATTCTTTTTTTGTAATGATTAATAAAGGTTTTTTAAGTAATATACACTAAAATATAAGAAGAATGTATATCATCAATCATTTTAACCGGTTGTAGTATGTTATCTCTTTGTATTTTTTCATTAATAGTTATGTATCATTGCAAGTGAATTTAGCCTGATTGTTTAATTGCTTTATACATTGGCAATAAATAAAATATAAACTGTGATTAAAGAAATGTCAAAAGAAGCTAAGTTTGGAATTAAAGTATGAATCAGCGCGATACTACATGTCTACATCAAAACTTTCCAAATATAATATATAGCAAACTGATTATATTTTTGACAATTTTTGTTGTGTTTATTGAACCCTTCACATATTTTATAAAAAAGGAAAAAACTTCAAATGCATTATTAGTAAGTAGCACTATTGCTATTTGGGAACTCAACAGTTTTTCTTTGTCTGATCAAACATTTTATTAAAGAGATTGTCATAACACAAATTGATAAAGAATATCAGAATAAAATAATATATATAT